CCCCGCCACCAGCACCCGCCTGCATGGCTGGCGGCCGGGCTTCGACACGCTCCTCTCCCCGGGGCGGCTGCAGCTCCTCTGGCGCAGAGGAAGCTCCCGGTCCCACAGATCTTTACTCTCACTGCTCCTCCCCAGCAGATGCTACGCTCCACCAAACCCAGCTTCAACCGTCTCCGAAGCGATAAAAGCAACTGCTACCACCTCGGCCATGTGTGCATTTCTGCGGCAATTCCTTCTTCGCGGCTGCTTACAAATCTTCTGCAACATTCAATTTAGGGACCAACGTTTTTCTGCAAGCGGACAGCAACTTGAAACCGTGAAATACGTAACCACGCCGGGGGCACCTCCTGACAGCCGAGGGCTGGCGCGGGGCACAGGCAGAGCCTTTGGCAGGGCTGCCCCACGATTACGGGGGGAACCACGCTCCAGCCCTCCAAACAAGCTCAAAGGGAAAAGTTAAGGACCACCTCGCCATGTTTCTGGCTGCATCTCCTTTCAGCGAGCTGATGACAATACAAGGAAGGCAAATCAGCGGTGGCCGAGGCAGCGGACACCTCGGCAGCCACACGCCCTGTGCACTGCAGAGAGGTGTAAGCACTCCTACAATTCACTACACGAAGACAACTCTCTGCAGCCCATTAAAGGTGGTTCAGAGATGTCAGAAAACCCAGCTAAGCCACTCCATGTTCTGCAGAGTTGTTTCATTTTTCACCAGCCCCATTTAAAAGGTAGATAAATCCAATGCCTGGTTTGATCGCTGCTCAAACACAAGCGAGGAAGAGACTAACGCTTAGGTTACTAAAAGGATCCGGCAATGCATGCAATGAAAATGGCACAGGTAGGCAAAAATGTAACAGCATGGAGAGATGCTACATACGCACTTCAAACCACAGCCAAGATATATGATCACGTATAACTCAGGGACTACAAAACTATCATTTAAGCAGTGTTTTATAATGCTGAGGAAGAAAGGAGGGTTGCACGTCCAAGCTTGACTTCAAAATTTTCTGATTTCTGCCTGCTCAGGGATGTGTGACACGCTCATCTATTTTTTTATTCAGTAGCCAAGCAACCCTTCCACAAGGCCCAACCAACTGGCCAAAAAGTACCACAGTAACATCACAGTGGGAAACAGAACTTTTCTTCTTTCCTTTTTTTTTTTTTTTTTTTCATTTATTGTTCTCATCCTCTAAATCCAGGCTGGAAGGCAGGATTTCACAGCATTTTCATACCAATCTGTGAAATGTGTGATCCCAGCTGTCTTTACCAGGCATAACAAAAAAACTTCCCAGAAGCAAAGGAGTGGTAAGGTTGAGAAAACAGTATGTGCTAATAAAAGGCTTTCAGAGCCTACTTGGAACCCTGATCCAGAAGGACACTTCAGCAAACAAAGACCTCACTGCAGTCAATCAAACCACCTGCTTACATCTAAGCACCAGCTTAAGCACTCTGCTGTGTAAACTTTCCGTGGACTACATTAACCCACGCCCGGAGGCTTGCTGTGCAAGAGCTGCAAACAGCAGTTCCTGCAGTGTCCTGTAATTTCCTCATTTATTCACCACCAATTATGAGCTGCCTCT